AAAAAAAAAAAAAAAAATGCAAACCAGAAGGTACATTTTCTACCACAACGCGCCATGATGCTTTCCCAGAAAGGAATGTAAAATGTGGTCTGCTCAAAAGGGGTCTGAAATTGGAGTCTGGAGAACACAGATTCTAGAGTGAATTCTACCTCTAACTTGTGGTGACCAAGTCCCTTCACTTTTCTCACTTCAAAACTAAAATTGGCTTTATACCACCTGCTCTCACAGGCATGTTGTGCAGATACACTGGGATAATATATATGAAGTGTTTTGAAATGTACATTGCAATATTCAAAGGGAAAATATCGCTATTGCTATGATGAAATCGTATAGGTTACTGTTTTCTATTGTTTGGTGCTAAGAATAGCCTCAAGAAATCAGTTAGGCCCCTTTTGAAAGCAGACATTTAATTAAAAAGCTACAAGTTTGTTCCCCTAAAACTGCTGATACTACCAGATGCCTTTAACGTTGTAGCAAAATAATGAGTTAATCATAGAAAAGTTACCATGACAAGGTGGGCAGGAGGCCAGTTAAGTGATTTTTTTAAGACACATGGAAACAGACTGTAGTTCTGCACAATCTGTTTCCTAAAAGTAGCTCTAGAGAAAGCTTTCAAGGATATGAGAAAGAATAAGGGAAAAAGAAGATATAATTACTGTATCTCTATCCATATATCTGTATCTACCTACCTTCACCATACATCCTTTTCCAAAGGCTCGTCCTAAACTACCAGATGTGTGAGGAAATTTAAAAAGATACATAGTATGGTGGTTCCTGGGTAGCTCAGTCAGTTGAGCAGCCAGTTCTTGATTTCAGCTCAGGTCATGATCTCGGCTCAGGTCATGATCTTGGGCTCCTGGGATCAAGCCCAGCATCATCATCATTGGGCTCCATGCTCAGCGGGGAGTCTGTTTCAGGATATTCTCTCTCTGCCCCTCCCCACTCTCTCTCAAATAAATCTTTTTAAAAAAAAAAAAGATACTTAGTATGTTTACTAATGCAGTGATGAATTTCTATTTAATCCAATATCGAATATCACTACCTGAGATGCTACAGGCCTTCAGAGTCAAGCTAAACAAAGATGTATAAACTATCACATTACTACAAGAATGACAGGAAACACTGGTTTTTGAGGAATCAGTTCTTCAGGTGTGTTCAACAGGATTCAGAAAATGGTATGAGACTTTATGTCATCCTAGGGAAGACTGAATGTGCTAATCCCTCTAGCACACCTCAAAAAACAAAAACAAAAACAAAACAAAATCAAAACCAAATAACAACCAACCAGAAAGCCCTGCCAAAACAGTAGATCTTAAGTCTTATGGGTCTTTAGACTTGGAAGGGCCTTTGATACCACCTAGTCTAACAATCTCACATTAAATATATGAAAAGGAAAGATCAGATGATTTATGTGACTTGCTTCCCCAAAATCACTGAGGAATTTGGCAGCAGAACTAAAATTAAACCCAGCTTTCTTGATTCTACCCTGAAGTCCTTTCCACTAAGATGCTCCTCTTATCAGCCTCTGTCCATATGAGTGCAGGCCAGGTAACAACCCTAGGCATCCTCACTTTGTCCTCCCTGCTGGAAGCCTCATTAGTGTGGGTCACGTCTATGCTCCCATTCCAGGGCCTTGATGAATGGAACAGTGGAGCACCAGACAACAACAGCTCTTCAAACGAAGAGTTGCAAGCCAGAGCCCAGGAAAGCAGTGTGCTTCTCCCCTAAACAACATATAGATACTGGGAAAAGACAGGAGAAGCACAGAAGGCAGGCAGCAGGAAGAATCCCACAGCTGACAATAGTTTGTTCAATAAATAGTTGGCACCAGTCCACACGAGCACTTCTGATCTGGGGATGTAAGCTGTCTCCTTTCTCTCATGAGCAGGGCCACACCAAACAAGCACTGGAATGGCTGGAGAGTAGAGTCCCAAGAAAAAACACTGGCTCACAGAGAACACAGAAACATTATCAGGAGCACCAAAGGAGAGGCTTATGAACCTTTCCCCAGACATTTATAAGCTCCACTTCTTGCTATTTCCCTTTAAGTTTAGGAGGGCATTGAGAAACACTTAAATTTGGGGCCCCTGGGTGGCTCAGTTGGTTAAGCTTCTGCCTTGGGCCCAGCCCAGATCATGATCCCTGGTCGAGCCCTGGGATCAAGCCCCCTGCTCAGCAGGGAGCCGGCTTCTCCCTCTTCCTCTGCCCCTCCCCCTGCTCGCACTCTCTCTCAAATAAATAAATAAAATCTTAAAAAAAAGAAACACTTAAATTTATATCTCAGTGTTTATTGGATTAAACACATAAGCCAACTCCCACTCACACTCAGTGGTCTTCAAACTTTACTATATTTAAAAATCACCTGAGTATCTTGTTAAAAATGCAGATTCTTGAGCCATACCATATTTTTACATTGTAACAAAACAATGAGTTAATCATTGGCTCAGGAAGCAGCTCATTTTCAAATACTGCAGGTGATTTTGGTGCATCTGTTTCGTGGACCAACAAACAGAGAGAACCTTTCTGATAACAGGTTATCACCAATTTGTCAGATAAACTGTAAAGGCCCCCTTTGTATGCCTGAACAAGGACAGTTTCTCCCTTTCCAGAGGTCTATGTGGCAATCACATAAAGTCATTCATACCAATACTACTCCCACACCTCCTTATGTTGTAGTTGAGAGAGATGCTGCATCAAGGCCAAGTAACGCCGGTGATGTTTCTTGATTCCACCTGGAAAAGCGGTAACGTGGTGGACAGTTCTCAGGCCTGAGCTTTAAAAACATACTGATATCTGAATCCTGCCTCAGTCCAAGGAAATCATAATCCCTGGGGGTGAGGTCTGGACATTTTATAGATGCTCCCCAGGTAATATATCAGCAGCTAAGGTTGAGAACCACTCATCTAAGGTAATAGACTCTGTAGAGACCATTATAGGAAGTATCCACTAATTTCTGGCCCACTAAATCTGGGAATGTCATCATTTAAGTGATGTTTCAAGATACATATCTTTTCCATAAAGCATATAATTTAACTTATTTAGGCAAGGTTTCTCATTAAAATTCATTATTCTACAGAAATATATGTAATTCATATATGTGCATCATATAACATCTCCCTTTCTTTACTCTCTTAACATTTAAGCACACCCAAACTGGCAGCCCCTATACCTACTCCACAGTTCTGTTTGCTGGACTGGAAATCCGCTGTGAAAATCCACAAAGAGAAAAAGCAGCAGAGTTTGTCCGTGGAAGTCCATATTCTGAGACTGATCTCCCTCACTGGATTCCACCTGATAACTCACATCTGGAAGCACCAAATCTAGAGGACAAGATATTACACAGTATTCTAAGTAAAGCCCTCAGAATGCTATGTGAATAAAGAACCTATACCTCAAACAAAGAAGGATCTGAGACAGATCTATATTCGAACACTCCCTTCTTCTCCTGAACCTGTTTTTCTATCCACATGATGGAAGGAAATAATAGCGACTCACAAAAGAAACATCAAAATAACAACTGGGTGTGTAAAATGCAAATCAAACAGCACTCCTTAGAATTTATTGGGAAACATTAATACATTTATTAATTCCCCATACAACTTTCTAAGATAGATATCACTAGTAAGAGGCAGAGGTCAGAGTCAAACCTGAGTAATGAAAATGACAACAGCTAATTTGTATTAAATGCTTACTACATGCCACTTATTGTGTTAAATTCTTCACATGGTCTATCTAAATATAGGCTTCTCAACAACACTATGACATAGGACCTATTCTTTTTTTTTTTTTTTTAAAGATTTTATTCATTTATTTGACAGAGAGATAGAGAGAGAACACAAGTAGGCAGAAGGAGAGGGAGAAGCAGGTTCCCCGCAGAGCGGGGAGCCCGATGCGGGACTCGATCCCAGGACCCTGGGATCATGACCTGAGCCAAAGGCAGCCGCTTAACTGACTGAGCCACCCAGGCGCCCGACATAGGACCTATTCTTATATCATTTTACAGATTTAAAAAAAGGCACCAATAGATTAAATACATTGCCTAACATGAGGCAGTAAGTGGTGGAACTGTTTTAGACAGACTCAAAATCTGTGTTCTTAACCACATTACCATATTATATTTGTATTCCCAGGTAATCTGATGCCCTACAGTCACTTTCTAGCACCTTGATCCTTTAGAATACAATCATGATAGTCCTAAATCCTACCCAGATCCATATGGAGAAGTACCTCCATGTGGATTCTGGTTCTGTCCTTTAGAGTAATGAGGGAGGGAAGGAGATGAGGGGACATTTTCTACATTACTCATTTCCAAAGTAAACTGAGCAAGCTCAGGCATCATGAATTGGCAAAAAACGAAGGAAACCAACAAAGCATGAAAATAAAAATTCAAAGAGAAAAGGAGATATGGAGAGCCCTAGAGATTCAAAAATTCTAAAGGCATGACATCCCACCTGTTAAGACCAGGCATTCTTTCTTCACAAAACCATTCACCTCCACAGACCCTATTCAAAGACACCCTCCTCCTTTCATTGCACCCTCTGGAACAACTACCTACTCAAGAAAAAAATCCTTACTCTGAGTCTTACTTCCTAGAGAAGATTCTATCATTCCCCCTGAGATACTTCTCCATCCCAGGAGGCTTCAGTCTTCTCATACCAGTCACAGCTCTAGAATGCCTCTTCCCCACTGGTCACCTTCCTCAGCATCCAGTTTACCAGGCTACTTTCTAAATTTCAGAGGATTCTAGCAAACAACAGTCAAGCTCAAGACTGTAAACCTCCTACACCCACCCCCGACTCCCTCTGCAAGTGTGCAGTGAGGTGGTGCCTGTGGGGCCCCTGGGGAGAGGTGGAGACAGGGGAAGGGATGCACTCGGTGTAGACGGTGTAGACGGTATAGACAGGTGTAGATGGGAGGGCAGAGGGAGTTCTCTTCTGTTTTACAAATGAGGAAGACGTGAGCCAATTTAAATGCTGATGAAAGATTCCAATAGAGAGACTGATAAAGGGGAAGGATGTGTGGGTAAAAAAAAAAAAAAAAGATTGGGACGCCTGGGTGGCTCAGATGATTAAGCATCTGCCTTCAGCTCAGGTCATGGTCCCAGGTTCCTGGGATCGAGCCCCACATCAGGTTTCCTGCTCGGCGGGGAGCCTGCTTCTCCCTCTCCCCCTGCTGCTCCCCTACTTGTTCTTTCTCTCTAAGATAAATAAATAAAATCTTAAAAAAAGATTGTAAACCTCCTAGATATCACCTCATGGTTGCATATCCCTACTTTCCAGTTTTATTTTTTGGTCCAGTTATTAAGTGTCCACCTCTCAGTGTGATTCACCCAAAGTTAATGTGGTTATGCTCTACAGGAATACTATGGCCAGCTTCCTAGGTTGATTACTACATGGTTTATACTCCTGCTTTGAATTTATATGGTGTTTTAATTTTTTATAAGTAATTTTATATGCATTTTCTCATTTCATCAGGAAACATTTCTCTTCCATAATAGTTCAATGATGTTACTAACCTTTCTAAAACCCCAGAGTTGACAGATTAAGGTACAACAGAAACCCTCTGAACAAGTCCTTACAAGATGGAGGCCTACTGACTGCCTCAAGAGGACCAGGAAGAGAGGAGGCAGTAGAGGAAATGAGGAAAACCAGCATTAACATGTAATACCAAAACAGCTAGGCTCTAATGCGGCTTTGACTATTGACCTGTTTGCCGCACTTCACATAGATTCTCAAACTTAGCCAGACCCCCACCAGTGGCCCCCAAACTAAACCATCAGATCACTGTGTCCTATTTTTTATGTACACCTGCTATTTATATTTCCTTGCATTTCTCTAATATTCTCCAGGTTTCTTTATTCCTGTGCAGAGAGAGGGAGATATACCTCTATCCAAATTGAGATCCAAATTGGGCACCATACACAAGTGGTATTTCTTCCAGTCAATGAAATAAGAGGTATCTTTGAAGACAGTAGTAGTTGGCTGCTCCTGACTTGGCAATATCAGAGGCAGACCTGAGGGTCCATATAGAAATATGTATAGTTGCTAAAGAAAACTACCAAATTTTAGTTTTTTATGACTATGTATTCATTTGCATAAAACAAACATAACACTGACCTGGTTCACACTCCCAGAAATAAACTAGGGTGCTAGATGATTATGTATTAAGCCTTTCCACATTGAGTATAGGTGTGAGGCACCAGAGATAGATCCACTAGAATTCCTAGAAATTTATTCTGGGTTTAATAAGTGTGTGCTACAGGTATAGTATTGGGACAATTAGTTTATATATTCATCCTACTCATTCCATCATAGGTTTGAGTGGTACTACAGGCTAAACACCATATTAAGTTCAGAGAATACAAAGATGAACATCCAGATTTAATACCTACCTTTGAGTTATCATATATATATTAGTACTGGAGATACAGGTAAAAATCAGTAAAATATGGTGTGATACATGCTAGAAGTATATACAAAAATATCTTTCAGTAAGTATTTGAGTATATTCAGATTAAAAAGGAAACTCCTTACCTCCTCTAACCCTATTCTCTAACCAAGACGAAGGCGGCCACGCCTCTGAAATGGTTTCCTTTTCTTGAGTTCACTCCTACCCTCGCCTTGCCTTTCACCTAGGGTTTCTCCACCTTGGCACTACTGGCACTTTGGGCCAGGTAATTCTTTGTTGTAGGGGCTATCCTGTGCACTGTAGGATGTTTAGCAGTATCCTTGGCCTCTACCCACTAGATGCCAGTAGCACCCTCCCCCTGAGTCATGACAGTCAAAAAATATCCCCAGACATTGCCAAATGTCCTCTGAGGGCAAAATTATCCAGTTAAGAACCAATACTTAGGGGCGCCTGGGTGGCTCAGTCGTTAAGCAGCTGCCTTCGGCTCAGGTCATGGTCCCAGGGTCCTGGGATGGAGCCCTGCATTGGGCTCCCTGCTCAGCGGGAAGCCTGCTCCTCCCTCTCCCACTCTCCCTGCTTGTGTTCCCTCTCTCACTGTGTCTCTCTCTGTCAAAAAAACCAACTAATACTTAACTCTTTTTGTCCCCTGAACCAAGGCTAAAGAAACCAGAAATATATTTTCCTTTATCTTTTTGTTTGTTTGTTTTCATCCTCTTTTTAATAGGGTAAACAGGAAGCATTAAGTGTGAAGAAGATTAAAATCCTCACCCATAGGCACTGGGACATTATGAAAAGTCACAGCAGAACGAAGGGAGACAGTACCCATAAATGAAGTCTCCATCACAAATCCAAGACATTTACACAGGAGCTAAGGCCAACACATTCACTGTTTAGAGCCAGGGGAGCTTTGAGGTACTGCAAACTCAGTAAGAGTGGAGTGTCTCAAGAATCAAAATGTGTGACTATCTTTTAATTGGGTTGTTGAAACCATTTACATTTAATATAAATACTGCTATGGTTGGGTTTATATCTACCATCTTGTTACGTGTTTTGCATTTGTTCCTTGTATTTCCCTCTTCTATTTTTGGATTCTATTCTGGACTGGGGGTTTTTGTAATTCCATTTTATCCCCTTTTTTGATTTATTCATTATAATTCTTTATTGTAGAAACTTAGGGATTTATAGTATAAATTTAGGCTTCATAGTATACAACTTTATCACCATCTCCTTTTAAATGATATAACAGTTCACACACATAAAGTATAAGAATCCTGCAATAAGGGCGCCTGGGTGGCTCAGTCGTTAAGCGGCTGCCTTCGGCTCGGGTCATGATCCCAGAGTCCTGGGATTGAGTCCCACATCAGGCTCCCTGATCAGTGGGAAACCTGCTTCTCCCTCTCCCACTCCCCCTGCTTGTGTTCCTGCTCTCGCCGTCTGTCTCTGTCAAATAAATAAATAAAATCTTTAAAAAAAAAAAAAAGAATCCTGCAATAATATACTTCCATTTCTCCCCTCTTGGTCTTTGTGCTATTGGCACTCATTTTACTTCGACATACATTATAAATCTTATATACTGATGGCATTTTTTTTTTTTGCTTTAAAAAGTCAACTATCTTGGGCGCCCGGGTGGCTCAGTTGGTTAAGCAACTGCCTTCGGCTCAGGTCATGATCCTAGAGTTCCGGAATTGAGTCCCGCATCAGGCTCCCTGCTGAGCAGGGAGTCTGCTTCTCCCTCTGACCCTCCCCCTTCTCATGTGCTCTCTCTCAAATAAATAAAATCTAAAAAAAAAAAAAAAAGATTCTCCCTCTCCCTCTGCCCCTCCACCCCCTACTCACGTGCTCTCTTAAAAAGAATAAAAATAAAAAATAAAATAAAAACATTGCTTCACTTTCTCCTAGATTAGTTTCCAATGAGAAATCTTAATTCTCATCTTTGTTCCCCAGTATGTTAATATGTCTTTTTACCTCTAGCCGCTTTTAAGGTTTTTTCTTTATTACTGGCTTTAACCAATTTGATTATGGTGTGTCTTGATATAATTTTATTCAAGTTTCTTATGTTTAAAGTTTGTTATCTTCTTGCATCTGCAGGTTTATACTTTTCAGCAAATTTGGAAATTTGGGGGACATTATTTCCTCAAATATTTTATCTGCCCTTTCTCCCTGCAGGAATCCAATCACATGTCCCTGAATTAGGCCACTTGAAGTTATCCCACAGTTCACTGAAGCTTTGTTCACTTTTTTAGTCTTTTTTTGTTTCATTTTGGTTTCTTCTGCCATGTCTTCAAGCTCACTAATCTTTTCCTCTGCAATGTGTACATCTGTCACTGATCTCATCCAGTGTATTTTCATCCTAAAAATTCTAATTTCTATGTCTAGGTATTCAATTTGGGTGTTTTTTTTAGATCTGTTATGTCTTTACTTAATATGTTCAACTTTTTCTCTTACACCTTGAATATATGGGTACAGTTATACCTGTCTTAATGTCCTTGTTTACTAATCCTATTACTTATGTCATTTCTGGGCAGTTCTCATTGACCGATTTTTTTTTCTTTCATTATGGGTCCTATTTTCCTGCTTGTTTGCATGTCAAGTAATTTTTTACTGGATGCCCAGCATTGCAAAGTTTATCTAGTCGAATGCAGGACATTTTTGCATTCCTGTAAATATTCTTGAATTTTTTTTCTGGGACACTATAAAGTTACTTGGGAATAATAGTTTGAGTCTTTTGAGTCTTACTTTTAAGCTCTGTTAGGTGGGACTAGGGAAGCTAGGGCTAGGGCTAACTCCTCCACTATATTCAGGCAAACCCTTCTTAGGACTCCAGCTGATATTTTATGAAATACGAGGTTTTCTATCCTGCGTGGTAGAACAGAAACCATTCCCAGCTCTGTGTGTTCTCCAGGAATTCTCCTCTGTCTGGAGCTCTCTCTGTGTATTTATCTCCTCTTTGGTACTCTTCTCTGTAATTTCTAGCTGCCTAAACCTTCCTAAACTCTGAACTTTGTCTTCTCAACTCAGAGAGCTCCACTAGACTCTAGTTGGATACACCCTCCCTATGAACTTCTCTCTAGGTAGTACAGTGGTGCAACACAGGGTTTATTTGTTTCTCCTCTCTCTAGACTTACTGTCCTATACTATCTGTTGTTTATATAATTTGTCCATTTTTTTAAATTGTTCAAGGTAGGAGGTTGGATCCAGTCCCTGTTATTTGTTCTTGGCTGGAGATAGAATTTCTGAAATTGACATAATCGCATGGACTTCGATAGCTTCTTTGCTTTCTGTATCAACATAACATACCCAGGCTCGTCTTGTACGTTTTTTTTTTTTAAGATTTTATTTATTTGAGTGAGGGAAGGGGGAGGGGAAAAGGGGCAGAGAGAAGCTGACTTTCCACTGGGCAGAGAGCCCAATGTGGGACTTGATCCCAGAACCCTGGGATCATGACCTGAGCGGAAGGCAGATGCTTAACTGACTGAGCCACCCAGGCGCCCCTCATCTTCTACTTTAGACCTGGAATCAGTCATTCCTCCTTTTTAGTGAGCAATGACATTTAGAGAACACATTCTGGGTACTAGGAGTGCTCACTGTTTCTATGTTTGTTTGTTTTTTGTTTGTTTAGCAGACAAAGCTAAGAAATATATAACTTCAAAAGTCAGAAAACTTGGGGGTACATATTGGTATCTTCAATTCCACTTTAAGATTACTTTAAAATATTTTTTATTTCATTTTTTTTTTAAGATTTT